AACGAGCTTTGCAGCGCGTCGCTTTCATCCTAGACCAGGATTTATTTAGTGAGAAAAATACCCCTTGTGCCGGGACCCGAACCCATGACCTGGCCCTTAGCAGGCTGCGAGGCTACCCACTAGACCACCGGGGCGGCCGGTTATTCACGTGTTTTGGAGGGACTGCTGTAGCCCTCGACCAATGATATTTTCTTGCGAAGGGACTACGCACTACATACGAGGGTCAGGGTTTCAACGACGCAAGCCCTCTTTGGCCAAAATCCAGTTTTGCATAGGTCTATCGAAATTGCGTGCTCAAAGTAAGTGCAACTTAACGTTTAAACAGGCCCTGATGACGCTGCACACTCTCTTGAGCCCACTCCGGATCACTCAAATGTCCATTGTAGCTTTTGAAAAGAGCATACATTCATTCATGGGTCACGTGTGCATATGCGTAGGACTAGGTAAACGCGTCATCCATTTTTCAACTGCTGTCATGACACATACGCATCTCCGCAACTGCCACTTTCAAAATTGTGGGCTGGAAGCGTGTAGGGTGCCGGCACACAATTTATCACACACAGCAGGAGTGCGTACGAGCGTTGTAGTGCTTGACCCTTGAACGCCGCCACATGAAAAAAAATGCAGAGAAAAACAATGAAAATGCGTGCGTGTCTCATGTGTGTACGTACGGAACACTGGGCATTGGGGCCTTTCATGGTGGACTGCAACGGTGTACACTGCTGCAATGCCTGTCTCTCACCTGCAGCACTTTGCCGAATGCTCCCATCCCGATCACTTTCAAGAGGTCAAACTCCCCTGGACCAGCCTTCCGCGCAGCTGTCGGCGGTTCACCCTTACCACCTACTTCGAGTACATCACCGCTCGCATTCGAAGCACCTTCTAGCTTTGGCGCACTCCCTGAAGGAGAACCCGCTGTGCAATTCCCCTCTGAGTTTCCATCGGAAGGGATGGCATCCTCTCTGGAGCAATTGCCATCCCCCGCCATCACCTACCGATGGCGTGTGGTGTGGTGGTGTGAGGCGGAGATGGATGTGCGTTCTCTCTGTGGTCTGTGGTGCCTGTAGCCCCCCCCTGTTGCCTCGTCGCATCCGCAGCGCCCCCAACTCCAGTTGCCACAGAGCGCCCCCTACGACGTCCTCATCCTTGGCCTCGCTACAACTGGTCCGATGGATTCGGCGCGCGGTAGCATGCGTTTTGCCGCACTCCTGTTGTACCTTGTAGCGGTAGCAAGAGCGTTCGTCCCTAATATTGGAGCAGGTGCGAGTTGTACAGGGCAGCTTTGCGTGGTCGACACAACAGCTGTAGGTTTCATGTAAGCTGCCCACAAATGCATATACGCGGCAGTGTACATTGTTCTTGTACGAAGTACCACAGTAGGTTACATTGGTTTACATACAAGACGTAGTGTCGCCAACCCCGTTCAGCGTTGAAAGTCTACAAAGAATTGTCCCGCTGTCTGAATACCGTATTCCTAATGCTGCGGCTCCTTCATTTCATAACCTGCCCTCCTTGCCTGACCTGCCGTGTCGGTGCAACGTGCCGGTCCAGTGCGCTTTCGGGTTTCTACGTGTAGACCATGTTCCCTGGACTTGGGGTCTTCCCTCAAGCCGTATCTAGAAAAGCTCATCGACGGCCACGAGCTCTCAGCCGCTGATTCGGAGGATGCGTTAGTTAGTATCATGGAAGGTGCGAAGGCGGAGCAGGTGGCAGCTCTCCTGTGCCTGTTGCGCATGAAGGGAGAGACCGCGACCGAGATAGCGGGATGCGTTCGCGGGATGAAGAGCGTAGCCGTACCCGTGCATGTGGAAGGAGACTTATTAGATATCGTGGGCACTGGCGGTGACGGCGCCCATACCATCAACGTCTCCACGGCGTCCGTCATCCTGGCTGCTGCAGCAGGAGCGAAGGTTTGCAAGTTCGGCAACCGCTCGGTATCCTCGTTGTGCGGCTCTGCAGACGTGCTGGAGGCTCTTGGCATTAGTGTGGACCTCACCCCGGAACAAGTGGCCGAGTGTTGTAACGACTGCAACGTGGCCTTTATGTTCGCGCCAAACCACTACCCAGCAATGAAGAACGTGGCCCCCGTGCGCAAGGCGCTTGGCGTTCGGACGTTGTTCAACATTCTAGGTCCCATGACTAACCCGGCGGGGGCACAGCGAGTGGTGATAGGAGTGTTCGACGACGCTCTTATGCCCTTGATGGCTGGAGCTCTCAAAGAGGTGAGTGGATTTTGTCAAGAGATAATCGAAGAGGCAAACAGAGTATGGAGGGAGGGAAGGAGGAAAAAATGGCAATTGCTACATCCTGGGGTTGTGCTGTGCCTCTCCCCACAGCTCGTGTCATGGAAGCCTTGTCTTCTGCATGCCGCTTTGTGGTCACAGGTGGGATACATCGAGCATGGTGTGATCGTGCACGGAGCGGGACTTGACGAGATAAGTCCTTTGGGGCCGTCAAAAGTAATAGAGATAAGAAACTCTGCTGAAGTTGGAAAGCCGAAGCAATACGAAACAAAGGAGTATGTCATCGATCCGAAGGATTATGGTTTTCCTGCGTGCAAAATGGAGGACCTCAGAGGGGGAGACCGCGACGAAAATGCCCGATTGCTCCGCGAAGCTTTAGAGGGCGGCACATGGACGAGTAACGGAAAGAAGGACGCAATAACGCTCAACGCTGGAATAGGGTTGTACGTATATGGTTTGGCGCCTACCATCGAGGCTTCTTTCAAGCTGGCAAAAAGCACGCTGGAATCAGGAGCCGCCATAGCTCAGGTTTGGGACAAATTAATGCGTTGTGTGTCTTTCAAAACGAAATGTGGTCGCCTTTTTGTTTGAAATACTGCTGCAACCCTTTTTTTGCAGCCACTTGGGTGTAACTATGTGATTCGAGGTGAAGAGCTCGTGAATCACATGTGTAACTTTGCAATGTAAGGACGACAGACGCTTCCAGGAGGTTCGTTGGGATGAAAGCACTTCCCAATAGTGATAAGAGTGACAAACTTCGAAACTTTGTACTTCCATGCACAAGTCGCGTATGTTGTGCGGATTACTCGGATACTAGAAACGGTCAATTGCCCAGTCCACAACCTCAAAATCCCCCCCATGGAAACTCTACATTACGTGCTTTAGTCAAACATCTCTGTAATCAAAAGTGTCCTGCCATGCCCGCGAGATGTTATCATCTGAGTGAACTATCGTATTGGTTTTGTCGCTCTTCCAGCTGGATAAATGGATTTCATCATCTACAAGGATTACGTCAGCCGGATGAAGAACAGTTCACCCAAGATAGGAGAGCGACGTCAACATGTAACTGCTGACGATGCCCAGGACTTGAAGCGCACCAACGCCAGGGTGCGTTCGCATGGGGTTGAGAGCGTTGGCGCATGTTGTTAAATGCTGCCACACGGTCGGCATCGGGGACCTGTGTGATTGTGTTTTGAGCGAAGCTCAGGTCTGGTGGTTGTTGGTGCTGTTCGTAAAACTTTCCCGTCAAGTCAAGTCACCCGCCGAAATCCTTCAAATGGATGTGAGCTGCCAGGTTGTTAGGTTGTCGCTAATATTGACGGCACTTGCTGTGGTCACTTGCAGCAGTAATTCTATAGTACATATGTTACCAGGGTGTAGGTTTAGGTATGGCCGAAAAAAAGACTCTTAATACCGAGATGCATTGGTCATACTAACTCCACACAACAATTCATACTCCATAGGTTTTAATCAACCACACTAGATCCCATATAACTAAGCATACGCTATAGGTTGAGTATACCTTACCAAATCCCGTACACTAGACCCCCTGCCCCCCCGGCCCCCTCGCGACCAAGATCGATGTTTAGCCTGGGTGGGGGGTTCCATGTTTCCANATCGATGTTTAGCCTGGGTGGGGGGTTCCATGTTTCCACTGGGGCCCCTTGCTTTCAATGCACTCTGAACGCCCCCCCCCCCCCTCCTAGCAACAATTCGGGTGTTACGCCAAACGGCATCCAGATCCAGCGAGAGCCCAATGGTTTTGTATGCGTAGCAAGCGGCAAAGTTGTTTTTTATTCTGCCAAACCAACCCAAGAGCAGTCAGGAACAACCCTCGTGATATGGGGAGGCCGGGAGGAAGTGTTTTGCGCCCAAAACACGCGAACCCTCCCGTTCGCTGTAGCAGCGGTGCCCGGTCGCAACTGTGATCCACCGTCAGGCGGTTCTCCCGGCTTGGCACCCTGTCCTCCTGCGACGCGAGTTCATTTTCCCTTGTGTCGTGTGTGGGAAACAGCGAGCGAGCTCTGCTGCCGCTACTACTTCCTGGTGCACTCTTAGCATATTTTCACCTCCTCGCTTGCAAGCGTACGATTCAGTCCCGCTGCACAACTATGACAAAGTCCAGCCGTCGGCTATCTTCCGTTTCCTCGTCGCGCCCTGTGCTCAATCTGGACTTCTGCATGAAGTCTCGTGGTCCACCACGACTGACGTATACCACTCTACGCCCCGGCTCACTCGTGGAACCGCAGCTACCCACAGTATTCAAACGCGCAGGATTTCAAAGTGTCACTACATGAGTGGGCGCTGAACAACACCGGTGTGTGCCCGGCGAATCGACAGGCGTTATTGAAATTTCAAAATGACACGGTTCTTTCGTCTGTGCCCAGCAATTCACCCGGCGCTGTACAGGGCCACCGGCGTTATTCAACGGGTTTTGTGAAGACCACTTCTGTCCTGGCAACCCCATATCGACAACCCGACTTGCTGTCCGTATCCCCTGTGTGCGTATCTTCTGATCATCCCCGTTGCCTTCACTCCGACTAGCGCTTACGCCTTGCGTCATCGCAGTATCGAATGGTAGCATGCGTATGTCAAAAGGCAGTCACCTAAGATTCGTAACAGCGTCCGTCGGAGGAATTTTCAATTCCCCTTCCCTGACCCCCACATTTAAAATCCGACAGTTCGCAGATGGAACTCGCGATGTTGTAGGTGCAGCGCATCTCATCGTGTCGGGGGGTTCTATGTATCTTTGTCCCATCTAATATTTCGCCTATCTACGCCTTTCGTTGTACATTTGACGTGTCGGCGGGGCTCGCTCACGGGAAGGGAACACCAATTTTTTTTTGTCCCACCCCCACGCTGCGGTGCTCGCTATTGATTTTGCCACATCCCTCTTTTATCATGATGTATCCCACGAATTGTTCATTCTCCACGGCAGAATTGCAAGTGTTCATTGCAACAGATCAAAATTCGAACCCACTAGACAGACCCCCGAGTGTGACCCTTTGAAAATCAGAGTAAAAATTGTGTCAAAATTATGATTCAGAACGCCAACAAGGTGACGACGACCAATTTATTCTGCATTCTACAGTAGTAACGAGCGCAAACAAGCTATCTTAACTAATACCACTACTCCGTATGGCGCAATACGGCGCTTCAAAACGTTATCTAACATAGCAGTTTTTCTTTTACCGAGAAAGTAACAGGTCCTGTGGATCCGGGTCCGCTTCGCCCGAATCCAGCTAGTTGTTTCAAGAACAGGTATCTAGTGGGCTGTCCCGGAATGTACATTTTCTCCATGAACCATCGGGTTGGATCTAAGTCGCTACCAAACAAACGGACACACGCACCCTCGGGGTCTACCAGCTACGAATGTCTGAAAATCTCCGCGGGGCCGCGATTATCAACACCTGTTCCGTAAGAAATGTCCCTCTGAAACAGCTTCCCACAAATGGTTTTGCATGGCACCCGGGGGTACCTAGGTCACTCGGAATACATTCGAGAGCCTGTCTGGCATGCGGTGGAAAACTTCGATCGGATGGTATCATGGTCGAACCATACATCGACAGGTCACGCTCGATACAGTACTTTCGGTGACCTCCCGAGGTTACGTGAAGTTGCAGGAAGTTGCAGCCAAAAAGCTGCTACTCGCCATGCTGGGATCAATAGATTCGCTTGACTCCACACTGTCAAACCTCCGACGTCGTAAGTTGATCCACACCTAGGAAACGGTGTTGACGCCATCCATTGGCGGGAGAATCTCTCTGCTGTAGGGTCGATTTGACACAAGCCTTCCTTCGAGATCAGCAACCAACGCCCTGAGACTCGCAATCTTTGCCTGGAGAGGATATAGTCAGGGTGCGTTGTGTTGTCACCGTGAGTAATCGATGCTGAACCTCATCATAAGCGATGAGAAACGAACTTAATGAATCGGCGAGGGATGACAAGGGGTTGAAGGATTATATCTCTAACTCTACACAGACATATTTCATTGGTATTTTCGAGCATTGGGCGGACGCTGCAAACCGCAACAACATGCATCTACAGTCAGTGCGACCGCCGGTGGCTATTAGTAAGAGCGTTTGCCAAGCAAGATCACGGAACAAAGGAAACTAACACATAACGTGCCGCTGAATGTGCATTAGCTCATCTGACCTCAACGTCATTTTGCTTGCGAGAGCTTGGACATCAAATGGTCACCTTGTTGTTCTCAATAATAGATGCTGGTTCCTCGTGGCTGGTTTCGGGCCGGTCGCCCACCACGGCAGTGGACGAGTACACAACGCCAGCTGCTCTCCGGTGTTTTGAAGAGGTCCCAAATCGTTTGAGCATATTAACCTTTAATATCACGGTATCATGTTAACGGTATCGCAGCGTTTCGGATTAGCGCACTGCAGCGTATCGCATACAAGATACGAAACCTTCGTGTAGCCACCATTGAGGGCAAGTAGCTTTGATTGTAGCGCTGGTCGTTGAGCCCGGTTGCTTGCGCCAAGTGTTTTTTTTTCTAACCGAACCTCAAATATAGAAAATACAAGCGGGCGGCTACATTGCATTCATTCATCGATATGTCGGGCCAAAAACTACTTGCAGAATGTCGTTTCGGTAGCTCTTACAAAGTTTCAGCTGCACCAGCAGGACAAGCGTCCATTATTTCTGCTAAATCAAGTGCGTGTACCCGTAGTCTACGCCCTCCGTCATTGTTGGGCCAGGTGACGGGCGGTGGATCCCCAAAACATCTCGCACACCCACTTGAACATTGCCACATATGTTATCTTGAACGGCAGTACACCCGGACGGATACATACGCGGACCCCTACAGCGAATGCTGCGACCACCAATCAATGTTGTTGTCACCTGGGATTCCAAGACTCGCTTGGCGGCCTTATTATGAGCTCGCTGCGTGTTGATTTCCTTGATTAGGAGCATGTTGTCCTGCATCACCTAACGAGCAGAGGGTTGAATTTCAATGGGGTACCATGGCGTGTGAAGACTAGACTTTTTCTCTAGTACAGTCAACTATTTTCGTGCGGCAGTAAAAGAGGGGTTTTCTATTGAATGTAGCATTTAGAAGTGGACTATCAAACGAGCCGGCGAAGAACTATTGGCGCCGCTGCGGTCTTTAGATTCGAAGCAGAGTAGGTTTTTCTTGTCTGCATAAGGTACAGCAACTTCGGGTTCCGCCACAATCGTGTTCATGGCTCGTGAGTACCGCTCTCTGTTGTCACGCTACTCACCTTGATATTTTCTGTGCGGTGCCCGCCAACATCTGCCACAAACTTGTGGTGCAAGTAGCGCAGACTTGATTCCAAGTATTCCTGGGTGAACAACGAGGTTACCCTCACATTGGTTAGCAGGGCACGTGATACGGACGCTAGCTTCACCGGTCAAGGTTTTTGGGACTGAATTGATCCATGTTGGCAGCAGCACGATCAGTGTATCCAACGTGCTCCCGCGTGGCCGCTGCCCGTGCCATGAATGAAGCATGCTTCCGTAGTTTAGCGCCTAAAATAGTCGCGTCCATCGGCCGCACCGTGCGGCTTCCCAGAACACGCACCCAAAATCACGCGACTCATGTGGAGCGTCCATTGCGAACTTCGATTATCATTCAAGAAGCCCATCCATGGCGGAGCGATGTACAGCAGTAGTTCAAAAACAATCTTTCTTTGACCTCGAGCTGCAAGGCAGCGAAAACTGTTGTTCGTCTTTTCTTATGAACGCCAACAGCTTCAAAAATTCAAAATAGTATTCCCCCAAACGAATACCCCCCCC